CAGAAACTGAAAATTTCATATTATTTTCAAAGTAAAAGGAGCATAACTCTGCCAAAAATCATCGAACCATGACCAAATTCGAACTTGACCTGTATTTTCTCATGACATATCCATATGTCAAATTTGAGTTGAATGTGTTGTACCGTTGGGGAGATAATGAACGGAAACTGAAAATTTCATATTATTTTCAAAGTAAAAGGGGCATAACTCTGCCAAAAATCATCGAACCATGACCAAATTCAAACTTGACCTGTATTTTCTCATGACATATCCATATGTCAAATTTGATTTGAATGTGTTGTACCGTTGGGGAGATAATGAACGGAAACTGAAAATTTCATATCATTTTCAAAGTAAAAGGGGCATAACTCTGCCAAAAATCATCGAACCATGACCAAATTCAAACTTGACCTGTATTTTCTCATGACATATCCATATGTGAAATTTGATTTGAATGTGTTGTACCGTTGGGGAGATAATGAACAGAAACTGAAAATTTCATATTATTTTCAAAGTAAAAGGAGCATAACTCTGCCAAAAATCATCGAACCATGACCAAATTCAAACTTGACCTGTATTTTCTCATGACATATCCATATGTCAAATTTGAGTTGAATGTGTTGTACCGTTGGGGAGATAATGAACGGAAACTGAAAATTTCATATTATTTTCAAAGTAAAAGGGGCATAACTCTGCCAAAAATCATCGAACCATGACCAAATTCAAACTTGACCTGTATTTTCTCATGACATATCCATATGTCAAATTTGATTTGAATGTGTTGTACCGTTGGGGAGATAATGAACGGAAACTGAAAATTTCATATTATTTCAAAGTAAAAAGGGCATAACTCTGCCAAAAATCATCAACCATGACCAAATTCGAACTTGACCTGTATTTTCTCATGACATATCCATATGTCAAATTTGATTTGAATGTGTTGTACCGTTGGGGAGATAATGAACGGAAACTGAAAATTTCATATTATTTTCAAAGTAAAAGGGGCATAACTCTGCCAAAAATCATCGAACCATGACCAAATTCGAACTTGACCTGTATTTTCTCATGACATATCCATATGCCAAATTTGAGTTGAATATGTGCAACCGTTACTAAGATAATGAACGGAAACTGATGATGACGGAATGACAGAATGACGGAATGACGGAATGACGGAAGGACGGAATGACGGAAGGACGGAAGGACGGAACAGGGTAACACTATATGCCCCGGCCATTACATGGCGGGGGCATAAAAAATATTATTTGTGAACACGAAATTCCTTAATTTTGAAAAAAAATCAGTATTTTTTGCTCTGATAACAAAATTATTTACTTTGAAATAAAATTTATATTTTATTTCTTAACATCAAGTGGACCTATAGAGGATATTCAAGTTTTTTCTATAAATACATGATTTATTTTCATCGAGTGGTATGAAAATAAATATTTCATGAGTGGCAGTAGCCACGAGTGAAATATGGTAATTTTCATGCCACAAGATGAAAAAAAATCGTGTATTTATAGAAAAAACTTGAATTTTCTGTTTATTATATACATTTTTCTCTTTTTTGACATTAAAATTTGAAAGACTTTCCCTTAAATTTTGTGTACTTGCAGAATTTAAAAGAAAGTAGTCCGGCAAGACACCAGTGAAAATACGGAAAATATGTTTCACTGCAGTGAAAAATAAATTTTTACAGTGAAAATATGGAAAATAAAAATATGCATTTTATTTCATCAATATTTCTCAATATTTCATTTATAAGTATATAATAAATGAGCTTATTAAGATAATATTTAAGCTTATATGAATTTATAACAAATATAATCTTTTGTTATTCTGTGTTTACAAACTAGGGGTACAGAAGGGGACGGATGTTACAGAATTGAACTAAAAATTCTTTTTACAGTAATACTAAACTTATCTTGTTCTTATGATGCATGATAGAGAAGTAGTAAGCTTTGCAACTGTATAGGAATGTTTCACACAACAAATAAAATACTATTTAAAAAAAAAACTAGAAGAAACAAACACAAAATCCTTAACAGGATAATTATATAGAAAGAGGTGCCAAAGATAGAGATGTTGAAAGTATCTTTGTGATTAAAATTGGTCAATTGTTAAAACATAAATTCTTTAGCCTTAAATAGTTAACAAACCATGTATCCCAGCCCCTCATAAAACAGTGGGATATGGATCCTAACTCTATACACACAGCAGGGGCTGGTACTTTATTGGAAGTTAATGAGCTGTATATTGGGAGCTGTGTATATTGGAAAGTGTGATATATTACGAAACAGTAGGGGTTGCCAATTAAGGGTGATATATATTATGCTTAAAACAGTGGGAGGGACTACCATATCTGTTTCAAGAATGTCTGTCATTAAGTATTGAAGTTGAAAATCATTTAAGTCAAAGGATTTATTGAACTTCAAAATTTTATAGGCTAAATATGTAGTCACTGAAAAATTTTAAACAAATAAAAAAATATAATTCAACACCCTGATTAAAATTTTTAGATTTTTTTACCCCAAAAAAAAACTCAAGCACATTTTTTCATACAATTTGACCCATTTAATTATTGTTAATAAAGTGAAAGAAACTTGTAAGTAAAGGATAAGGTAAGGATTCCTGTAATGAAAAAGTTGGAATAATTGTGAAAATTATTCTGTTAAAAAACCCTTCGCAAATTATTTTGCAACTATAAATTTTATTGAATGACAAATTAATTCATTAAGTTAAAGCAGTTCATGTACACTGACATATTTACACAGAGAATTATTAAAAGTTAGAAATAATGAGATTATGATACTGAATCATAATGAAATCTTTGAATAATGCTGCTTACATTCCACATTAATTTACTTAAAATTTCATCAAATCGATAGAACTTAATTGCAGCAATTTAAAATCTTATAATTTTAATGAAAATTTTTAATTGTGTATAATTTATGTATTTAGTAATGAGAAATTCAAGCTTGCATATGTTTCAATCTGAAAACTTATTTACTTCACACTGTATCATATCTTTTACACATATAAATTTTATTATTTAACTAATTTAAAAGAGTTTTGTAAATAATTTCATGTATAGAAAGGTACTGGTGGTATGACATTTTCTTTTTAATGTTAATGCATTATCTGGAAACAAAGATTCTTTTGTTTAATTAGCAATGTTTGTAAGATAAATAGAAGAAAACTAAGTCAATGCAACTTTTCATTGTGAAACGCACATAGTAAGAAACTCCATAATTGTCAGGTATATTTCTACATTTTTCTCATAATTTGTTCAATTATTTTACATTTATTGTACTGTACAAAGCATATACTCTTATAAATTATATTACTTTAAAATAAAACCAAAAAAAAAGTATGAACTATAAGCTTTAAACATCTAGTGTAACATCCGTCCCCCCAAAAATGTAACATCCGTCCCCCTGATACAATTCATTTTTGGGTTATCTGACAAGAAATATACAAAAGAAAGTCCTATAATTTCTACTGGTTTATAAGAAATGTGTTTGCATATTTGATTTAAGTATGATTTGGTGTACCTTTCCTTGTTTTATTTCTTTCTGTTTCTAACATGTTTGAAAATTTCATTTTGTGTGAAAAATACTGAAAATTTGAAAGCAAATATTTTTATATCTAAGATGAATTTTCTGGATTTTTTTTGTAACATTAATCAGAACACATAATATTTTAATAAAATAAAGAGAAATAATACAATTTTTATTATAAACTGTAAGATATTCAGACTTTTAGTATATCTTTGTAACATCCGTCCCCTACCCACACAGTCCGCAAGAGATGTAATATTTTGAAAAAGGTATCCAAAAAGTTATCCTTTCTTTCCAAAAATATTGTCATAGACACCCTAAGGTACTTAAAAAGAACAAATATTGTCTTGTATGTTCAACTTTATTTTTTGACTTAGATGCTAACACAATTGGCCCATTTACTGTGCAGCAGGCAATATGCACGATCTGGCAAATAAAATTAATCAGATTTTATAGTCTTAAACAATAGGGAAATAAATGACCTGAATTTCAAGAAGTAATGAAAATTTAAACTTGAACTTCCAGGAGTAATATAAACTATATCACAAAAGAAAGTTTTCTCTTGAAGGGAATAACGAAATTATTATCTAGATAAAACAAATCAAAAACAAGTAATATACATGCACATACATATAAACTTTAAAGTGATTTAAAAACAAATAACTTTTGTATCAACAAACTTAATAACATTATAAAATGAAGACTTAACTGGCTTTTAGTATGACAGTAACATAAATATACTAAAGACACTTTTCGTTCTTTAATTAGCAATCAATTATAAATCTCTCCTCATCTTTACAGTGTCTCCAGGTGCTACAAAATAAGTTCAAAATTTATGATCTTGGAATCTTCTAGCATTAAAAAAAGAGCTGTCAGAGCAGCAACACACTCCATTTTTGTCAGTGCTGTATTATAAAAGCAAAGTTAAAAGGGGGCATAATTCTGCAAAACGGATTGTGAGAATTACCTTTTGAAATGAATATCAGTACTGGTTTTTAAGATATCTAGGAAAATAGAAAAATATATAAAAAGGGAGATAATTAAGCAAAACTGTCGTTCAGGGTTTACTACTCTTTAGCAGAGATTAAGTATGCAAAGTTTAAAGTGAATATCTTTCATAGTTGTTGAGTTCATTAATTCTCTTTTGTACAAACTCATTCAAACACTTAAATATTTATAATAATATCATTTAGCTTACACATATATGATACTAAATGTTAGAAAAATTCAACATTTACAGATGTATACCCCTAGATTCAATCATGCAAATTTTCATGGTACAATGAATGTTAGAATAGTTAAAAATATCTTTTAGTGCCAAGTGGAAATAGAGCTACATGTAGCAATTCACTAACAATGCAAATACATTTCTTCAAAATGTGTCCAAAAAAAATACACCTTTTACTAAATGACAGAGTATCATTTTTTTTTGGTTGGTTGGTTGGGTTTTACATTGCACCAACATTGTACAGCTCAAACCTACAGCAGTGAGGGGGAAGTGGTTTGAATTCAACGACCTTAACCAATCAGCCAAAGATCGTCCACCACCTCCAACTGAATATGAACAGAGAATCAATATACTGATAAAAATTGTAATTTCAGTAGAATCTAATTGCCATTATATAGCATTACATAAATTATGTGGATTATGATACTTGCATATCTTTAGTCAAGAATGAATTTTTCAAAAACTGTATGCACTGATCTGGGAGTATGCAGCTTTAAGTTTTAGTTTTAAGTGTTAAATTGATCTGAAAATGAAATTTTACATGACGGTATCAATCAATGAAATAAAATGTCTCGCACTCATTTCTTGCATGAAAAAAATAATGATTCTGTGACCACTCTCTTCCATATTTATCAGATGTTATAATTCCCATACATATGCTACTGCATATAACAATCATGGGTAAAAGTGAAAAGAAGGTAAAAAAAAATCATGAAAACTTAATCAAAATGGGACTCCACCGAGGTTTTTTTTGACATGAGAGGAAATGAAAATATTTTTTCAAGGCTCTTGTACCCTTGATGTATGTCTGGGCTAATAACTTGTGTGAAAATTCAGATCATTCCCTCACTCTGTTTCCCAAAATAATCACTTTTATCGTGCAAAATGAACACAAATTGAAAAGTGTTGCAACGTTTTTCACTCAAACCCAGCTAAGTATCATCCTACAGATCTATTTTTAATTTAAATCTGAGTATTTTTCTTTTTGCAGATTTTTCAGATTCAAATGCAATAGTTGATCTACATAACAATTTCAAATTTTATGTTTTTTGGCTTTTTTTTCCTCAGTAGAGCTCCTTTAATTAAATTTTTTTATCTGAATATCAGTTCTAAATATATAAAGAGATGGTTTTTATAAGTATTCAAATCATGAACTTCTGGGGAATAAAAAAATGAAAAAGTTTGCCCATGATTATTACATGTGTATTTTATCAAACATTTCTAAAACGTTACATACATGCATGTAGATGATGTACATTTACTAAGTCCAATGTTCATTTAGTATAAGATAATCACAATTTGTACATGAAGAAATGATAATTTATATGGCTAATCATATAACATAAAATAAAATAATGACCTGGCCACAAAATCTGTATGAAAATCTACATGTATCATAAATTAACAGAAAATCAAACCTACCGTGCATTGCATTTATAAGATAAGAGAATTATTTTAAAGCATTTTCTAACTTGCAAACGAGGACAATTTGTACTAAACCAGTTCTTTGTTATAATCAGGCAGACATTGAAAGAGGTAGAATTTTGATCAAGCAAAGTGCAGAAGAAAGACAATTCAATACACACCTGTTGTTTTCGCCAGTCAAGCCTTTCAAAACTAAATAAATACCTCCAAATTTAGGGAAATGTACATGTAAGGTTGAAAAAACAGTGGCAGCTGAGAAGTATGTTTTCCTGTTGGGATTGGGGCTGGGTGGAGGAATATATATACATTTTTTGAGAAATTAAATTTCTATTTGTAACAATAACATTCATTCTTTTACACAAATACAAAAATATACTGTATGTGGCTATTTTGCTTTTTAGAAAATTTCTACTTAGCTTCACATCACTTATTTGAAAATGAAATTCAGACCTGTCAATTATAATTTTTACGATACATGAAAAAAAAGATGTTGAAACAATAAAATAAATCTATTCTGTATTCACATTTCATTTCATTTCTTTTATTTATCTGATAATTTCTGAAAATTCAGGATATCTGGATAATCATAACTCTACATGAAATCGAAGACTCATATGAGTTGGTACTTTAAAACACTTATGTCTCAATATGTGACTTAACTTAATAGACAATATCGTGTAGTAATACAGTATCATGATTAATGATTTGCTAATCAATTAAATAATACTAAGTTTTAAGATGATATAAAGCCAAATACATATTTATGTTACTACTGCACCCTTATAATATACATGTATATATAAAAGGACTGCAATCGAAACTGTAATGTAAAAGAAAGACATTGTGTACATCCATAGTCTTGTTAAACTGATCAGTGCATCTCCACAAACTGTTCGAGTCTTTTTGGAATGAATCCTTGATATGGGATAGCACACTTCACGATTTTTCTGGCAGCCAAGCATTGCAGGGTTGTGTATTCCAGAGGAGAAGCTATGTCATATATAGTTGTTCCTCGAATAAGTTGCATAGGGGTTTTTCTATCTCCATTACAAGCATCTATATGAGCGCCATGCTTTAGAAGCAGAGCAAACACTTCGGCTTTACATGGTTTATTCGCTGCAGCTACGTGCAACGGAGTGTTCTTTTCTGCATCTACTGCATTTACATCACAGCCTACTTCGAGTAAAAGTCCTATCACTGAAAGAGATGGAAATGAACAGACCGGGTACCGGCCTACATTTGTAGTGTCTTTTGAACATGCAAGATGTAACGGGGACTGACCTTTGGCACTAGTCGGTTTCATCTTGATTAAATTGTATGCAGTCTTTTTAAATTTCTCTTCTTCTTGCTTGTCTAGACTTCTCTTTAATCTACACATCAAACATATTATATGCATTATTATCACAAGTAGCCGGTTCACACTGGTTGTATCTCTTTCCGATGCTTCCATTGTCGTCAAATGTTTTTGCCCGCGTTCAAGCTCACATACAGCTTTTAATAAAACAGCCATAATATCTTTAAAAGGAACTGGATGCGCAGGACGATTCCTCCATTCAGTTGTCATAAAAGAGAATAACTCTGCGAAGGATAAGAAACTGCTCTGGGTCATCGGACTCAGTGGTTCAAGTACATTTTGCTGCATATCGAGCGCATACGTCCATAACTGAATACAGCGATCAAAATTGCCCATGTCCGCATACAGAGCCCCTCTATACCTGATATAATATGAAGTGTCAGGATGAGCGGGTCCAAGAATTCTCTCCCTTACAAGTAATGCCTGCATCCTCATGTCATCTGGGTCAGAAATTAACTCATCAAGTTGATCTATAGAAACCACTTCCTTTGAATTCTCATAAGCTGCGATACTTGAAGTTCTTTCAGGTTTTAAAACTGCATGGAACTCATCCGCAAATCTTTCCTCCATTGCTTGTCTCCAGAAGAGAATAGCTCCGAGCATATCTCGTTTTTTATCGACATATGTAGCACCAAGAAGTTCTAGGGCATCTATTTTCTCTTCCCTTGTACATTCATTTCTCTCTATAAGAAATTCAACAATGGTTGCATATCCGGCCACTGCTGCAGCTAGTAACGGTGACATCCCATACGCATCTTTTTCCATTTGTGCATTGTACTCAAGCAAGAGCTTCATTATATCAAGACTCCCTGATTCAGCACAATCATGCAGGGCAGTGTTACCTGAAAAACACAAAGAGGCGAGTATGAAAACAAACTTGAATGTAAATTCGCATGTTTTTATCTGATTTCATCAGCACCTCCAGTGATTAATCTAGATGTGCGTCTTGCGTAAAATACGCATTAAAATCGAAAAAGACGCACAGTTTCAAAATATGTGCGTTCAATTTGACGCATGCTAATCAGGAAGTTTATAATCCAAAATATCACGATTAGTGATTTCTATGTACAGATTGATTACTTTAATTTCATTAGTTGAATAATTTTTCAATTTCTTCAGTTGAATAATTTAATTTCCGATAGACTTATCCCCCATTTGCTTGAAACGTTAAATCCCAAGCAATTGTTGCTTGTGATCGGTAACCGCCCATTATCGGCATTAGCCAATCAGAACGTCCATTTTGCATAAGAGCGATTCGCCTACAATGGTGAAATATGCAGACATTGGCACTAAAAAATGAGAAGGGCACAGGAAAATCGTCAGCAAATGGCCAAAGGCGCATCAGACTTATATTGTATGTTTTTTAGTCATCCAGACAAAACTGGTACCAACAGCAACAGGTTACCCATTCCCCTGTAATTACGCATATTCTTGAGTTTACCCATTTCCCTATAGCATTTTTCCAAGTTATCTACTTACCTAATCCCTTTCCCACCTACCACTGCATTTCTACTACCATAAATTTAATCCAATAAAGCAAACAAAAAATCATTTATCTACTTAATATTTTAAATAATTATCGGTAACTGAAAAAAGTGTTGCTATTTTAAGAAATGCTGTAAGTTACAGTATAATCTGACAGGTGTGTAATGATTTCCCCTAAGGTCACTCAAGTTCATGCGGAGTGTAAAAAAAAAAGATGTCTATTACGTCATCAGAATATTTGACAGGGTGATTAACCAATCAGGTCTGTCTGTGTATGCTTTCTACACAGAGGCATAAAAGGAGCAATAAAAGTCGTCAGTATGTATACAGTGTGAGAGGGACATTTTGTGCAAATTACGAACAATTAAAATGGATAATGCACAGTATTAGACATAAGTAGTAAGAAAATATAAATTATGAAAATTAGATTTTTGAGCAGCCAATAAAAATTGTTTTGCCTGCAATTAATATTAGTACCAAAAATAACGTTTTTATGCACTTTAATTACTTAATCGCTTGTTATAAAAACATGCAAATCATGTCGAGGATCTGCTATTAAAAAGACGCATTTTTTTTGCTACATGACTCATTGATTTTGCTACATGACTCATTTTTTTCAAACATGTGCGTCATCCGACGCATTGTAAGGAATTTCTAGATTAATCACTGACCTCATTGAATGTTGTTTTATTTTATTAAACTGTGGTCTTAAAGAATTATAAAAGTATTGAGTAGGCTAGCATTTAACTGTACTTTAACTTAAAAATATCTTACGAAATTGAAAATATGTTCAACAGTTTATAAAGATAAGATTTTATTTTCTTGCATAGCGGACTGGCGTTTCTGTGAGTTTTACCCATGCCGGAAATTTCATCTGGCATGGGGGGTGCCAGACGAGTCGCGTGCCAAACAACAACGTCATTTTAGCGCACTAAATGAATGAACCGCGTTAAAATGACGTCGTTTTAGAAGGGAAAGATGTGCTTATGATGACGTCATTTCACTGTTGTTATTTAAGTTGTAAGTTCATATGCTATTGTAAGAAAATAGTTAGGGATGAAATGACTTTAATTTCCATGAACATATATCATATTGAGGTAAACCATTTTAAATATGAAATAATATGGCAGAATATGCAAGAAAAAATATCTAACATATGTTTGCGGTTTGGATCGGAATATCTGTCCCTCGGGAACCCGCCCATGGGCGGTAACTCGGCAAGCCTCGTTACCGCCCAATGGGCGGGTCCCCTCGGGACGGATATTCCAGTCCGAACTGCAACATATGACAGATATTATTATTCATTTATTTTTCTATAGAGAATACCTGAAAAACAATGTTTTGCTACAATGAAAGACACTTGACTTTAATGATCCAAGAGTGTCAACAATTTGTGGCAGTGGTTTGCCTTCCTTTTCAAACAACATATTTTAGTGTATGCATTGCATACATGCGTATTAAACAGATAAGCCAAAACAAATTACAAATGAGAATGACAGAAACACTTGCTAGGGAAATGTTTCTTTACTATCACATATCAGAAAGAGATAATAACACTAAAAATGATGATAATAAACTGAATTAAAATACGGCCATGATAAATTGAGAATCAAATCATCAGCTCTGAATTGCCGTTCGCCATAATCTCGAGTTATAGGTTTACTCCTACTAGGCTAGCATTAAAGCATGCTTCAAACTCCATCTATTGGATGCCAACATAAGACCACTCTTATATTATAGTTTCTTGTCCTGTTTTATTATATCCCAGCTATTATACAAATTTTTGAATTTCCTTTATTCATTTGACTGTTTCCTTTTTACCTTTAACACTCTTCCGGTTAACATCTGCTCCCTTTTGAAGAAGGTATCGAGCAATGTCATGATGACCTTTATAGCAAGCTATCATCAGACAAGTATGGCCGTGCCTGTTTGCAATTTCAATGTCTGCACCATTTTCTACAAGAAACTTTACAATGTCAAAATGTCCGTCAAAGGATGCTGCTCTCAGTGGAGTCGAATTAGTTAATGTTGTTTTATTAACCGATGCTGTTCTTGTCACTAGAAATTCCACAATATTGAGATAGCCCGCTGCAGCTGCACACCATAAAGGCGGAGCACCTTCAATAGTTTCACCATCAAATGTCACTGATCCAACTTGCTCTAAATCTGCTTCACACTGTTCTATCAAATACTTCGCCACGTCAAAATGGCCATTTCTGGCCGCCATAATCAATGGTGTGGCCCCATTTGTCGTTGCCTGGACCAACTGGCGTACGACATCTTTTGATTTGTGATCAAGGAAAATTTTCAAACGGTTTAATTTACCGTCACGGGCTGCGTTATACACGACACTTCTGTATTCCATATCCTGTCCCCTGGACAGTTGAGAATGTTTTCATATTAAAATATATGGCGATGGCTATTTATATCGACTTATATTTAATTGTTTTTCAAATATTTGTAGATGAATTGGACTTATTTTGACAAATATGGCTAACAATTTTCAACGATAGGTGGCGTTTAACGGTGGCTCAGAAAAATCATACGTTGTAACAATTCTTTTATTGAGTAAAGTGCGAAAAGTAGTAAATTTCACGCAAGGAAATTCACATGGCGGCAGTCAATCGGAACTCCTCGGGCGACTTCAAGAACTTGACGGAGATTGCCGAGTTGTTACGATTGTCAATCTCCGAACTTGACGGAGATTGCCGAGTTGTTACGATTGGGCGGCAGTGTGAAGTCAAATGATCGATACACACCGGTCTCGTTGTAAGACCGTTGTACACAATGGTCAAATGATTGTACTCAAGTCAAGACAAATAAATTCAATATTTATTACTTGCCGAAGCGTATAAGTGATGTATATGTGATGTGATCCTCAGATACGTAACTTCAAGCCAATTTTTTGCAGACATATCATCCCTCATTCTAAGAAATCCGGTTGAGATCACAGGTGTTTTGCGCGTTGATTGGTCACTACCCCCACCCCTTTACCCACTCTACAACCCTCCTATCTCTCCAAAACAATGAAAATTGCAATATGGGAGGGGTGTCCCCTCCCATAGACTGAGAAAATTTTGAAATATGAGGTTGAAAATAATGCTATTTCCTTGACTTTCTAGTGCTGTCAATGGTACCTTTTGGATGGTTTAACATCACATGGTATTTTTTATAGGGAGTGTTTGCCGGGTCTTTCAAATAAAATTCCCCTGGCGTTTAGTAGTAAACATTTACAAAATAACAGCACACTTACCAATGTATGTGCGACCGTTGATAAAAATAATTTTCAAACACTAATCAATTTACTCATCTGGATAAAAGACGATTTTCCTAAATTATATAAGTGTTATTAAAATACTGCCTTTCTATTGTACAAAAAAAATCAAACACTAATAAGATTTTTTTCCATCAATGAATCCATTATAGATTATGACTAAAGCTAGAGGTCAGTACAGTTTAAATTTTATTTAAAGAAATATAACTGCCATTAAAAGTTATTAAAAACAAATGACCATGCAGTCATTTCATCTTTATAAAAATCTTAGTAAAACTAGTTATTAAAACGTGATTCCTTTAATATTATCTTTTTAAAACTCGCCACCTTTTGTAATTTACAAATCATAATTTTCAATTTCTTAATTATGTGTATTTCAAAGATAGTTAAATTTGATGTACTTTTTAACATTTCTATTTGCCACTATCTGTGACTATTAATTTAATTGACCCTTGGAAAGTAATAAACCAATCAATTTTGCAGTTTAAAGATTGAAGTCATTCAAGCATGTCGATAGATAAAGATCTTTGCCAAGCCCCCAGACAGGAGATTAACAACTCGATGACAGCAATAAATGTTTTGATAGGGGAGTACACTACAGCCAATAAAGTTTGAAACTGACAAAACTACATTCCAGTCCAGCTAGTAAACCTATCTTTAAAGAAGATATTGTCAAAAAGAACAGGCCCTAAAAATCGATCCCAGTTAAACACCATATAGCATATTTCCCTGAAGTCACTTGTGTTTGATCCTACCGTTACACATTGTTTTCTGTTGGTTACATAATTTTACAGTTAATCTAGAGCTTTATCATTAACACCATATGACTGAAGTTTTAAAGTAGAAGGTCATGTGGTTAAACTATTACAACTACAATGTAACAAGGTATCCATTTAAATTATTGCTACATTAAGAACTTGTTTTCAAATCTTCAGTTATTTTCAAAAGATTACTTTGACATCCATACTGTAGACAGGTCTTAAGGGCGATATGTTTAAATGGTTAATAAAAAAACCTCTCTCATGCTTGGTAAAATAAGATTTTTTAGAGTAAATCAATTGGTAACCACTGGTTAGTTTAATTACCAATGACATACCAATATTATAGTACCAATATTTACGAACAAAACTTGCCATTAGTAAGAAAAAGTTGTAGACAGGCTATGACAGTATCGTTCAGAATACCTTATTGGTAACATTAAATTGGCTGGTTGTGCCATTCCACAAGTACCATTGGTTCACCATACATTGGTGCCGTCAATGATAAAATTTTACAACTTGCCATTATGTATGACAAAATCCGTTTAGAGTGGATTGTCAACCATTTGCACCACTGGAGATCAATGTAATCAACAGTATACAGTAAAGTTAAGTACAAGTAGAAAATGACATTTATTGATGCGGTGGTTGAACTGTGTTCTGGTGAATTCAATGTGGCTTACTGTCGTGATCCGGAGTGAAAACTACCAACACCACCACCACCACCGACATTTATTGAAATGAATTCTATTCAAGTGTTTTACCTTTCGTTTAAAGTGTCATTTTTCGGGATTAACTTATTTAGTACTGCGTAGCCTAGTATGACAAACACTACAACAACAACAACAATTGAGCAATTTTTGATTACAAATGATAGAAGTATGTTCATTATGTTTGTGTGTTGCGAGTTTTTATTGTAATTAAATATTTTTCTCACTTCTTACATCCTTTATGTATTAACACATCGTAATTAATGATCATACGCAATTTTTGTCTTTTCATAAGTTTCCCATCATGTCATGATCATCATCATCACCTGACAAAACATATTTCAGTGATTTTACCCATATTTATTTCATTATATAATTGGGAAAAATGTTATTTTAAGTCACAGGGATTTTTAGGAATGTCAGACGCTTCACTCCCAAGACGTTTCACTACCAAGACGGTTCACACCTAGAGTCAGTGTACCAGGAGTCGTACACTTTTTTAAGGAAAAATTAGAAAATTATCTTATAGTTAAAAATTCTTCTTATAATTGATATTATTTTGAAAATTACATCCTTTGCCCATAAAAACTGATGACCAAAACGTTTCTATCTTAAGTAGGTCATACTTCTAGGCGCACTTGATTTTAAGCAACAGGAATGGGCCAAATATGATAAATAGTGGACTCGGTTCCGCACACAAGGCCATTTTTATACTGAAAGGTTATTGTACATCTTAAACATGTTTTATAAATTATTTAACATCTCTAAGTCCAGATAAGTTACATTGTTTTGCAAATTTTCAGGAGTTCAAATAAATTTAAAGCACATTCTTACTACAGTGTACAAACATTTATTTCCAAGCATAGTAGCACACAGGAAATGTGTAACAGCAATTGAAATATACTTTTTTACCACTTGTAGGTAGTAAACACAGACATAAAACATTATTATTGAAGGTTTTTTCATCTGTTTAGTTATGACTTGTTCGATTAAGAGTTTGGTATCATTTTAAACAAAAGAATCAAGGTGAAATGACTTGATGTTTGGTTATTGGGAGAAGTTAAATCATGTGCATATATTTCATAACTAACAGCAAATTTGCCAAAACAAAAACATACATTTATTTTCAAATATATATTTTATAAATATCTTAACATTGAAATAGAAATTAGCATGGTTTAATAGCTGAAAAAGATGTTTTTATGTGTGACCTACACAGCCATGTACATGTATTAACATTTTCGTCTGCACTCTTTAGGGAAAGGCTGGGATGCAAGATCCCAGATTATGTCATATCCTGTTGAAAACATGCCAGTTCAGTAAAACACAAATGAAAACTGAATAAATTCATTTGAATTTTCAAGAAAAAATGAAAAATGGGAAAGTGTGCGGGACCGGGTCCTGTGCGGAACCGGGTACACTGACTCTAGACGTTTCACTCCAATTTTGTCAATTGTATGGACGTTTCACTCCCAATTTTTAGAGATGTTTACTAGGAAAGTTAACAAATTTTAATTTCATTAATATCAAACAGTGTAAAAAGGAAATTCAATTTAATGTTTCATTTTGTTGATTTCAAAGGTATTGTTAATACGAATTATTAGAAGATTACTCATTTAATTATGTGTTGAGTGATAAGAGGTGTAAATGAAAAACAAATTTCTGAAATATCACTCTTATTATAAGTGTAACAACATGAGAAAATTCTATTTATAGTAAATTTAAAAAAAAAAATAGTATAACATATAAAGAATAACAAAGTCATATTATAAGTATCAGTTTAAATATTGAAATCACTACCAGTACAGTAATTAATATTATTCAAATAATAAAAAATATCAATATATTAAATATATTGACTATATAATGATTATTTTTTGTAAGTCTTAAACAATGAAATGCGAAACATGTGTATAAAATAAATTATTTTTTAAAACTATTTTCTTCCTCAATTTATTAAACAGTAGCCATTAAACAAACTTAAGTAATTGTGGTGTTATCTTATCGCCTAATTTGTTGTATAAACACTGAAACCATCAACTAACAGTACGACACCACTATTAAATCAGTTGTATAAACTCTGCACTTAAGCATCAACAGTTTACTAATCAGTTGTTTATTGGACCATTGAAATATTTTTTGACAACAGCCAATTTAAACACAGAAATTTCTCCATAAGTTTTGTTTATATGATAATAAATTTTAGTCACAAAAAATGATTATACATCACATGAATAATATTGAAAAAGTCCCAATGCTTCTAATTCAATTTAAAGATATTTCTGATTTCAATGGCCATTAAAATTTTTGACATATACCGCAAAAGCAATATACTAGCATTAAATAATTTAACAGTTTTTTATCCCATGTTTAAAATTAACAACAAAAAAACACATTACTCAAAGTTAATTGTTGTCACAAGAGATTGTTATGCTTTAAATTAAAATTGCCTATTGAGTCCATGTTTACAAAAGATCAAATAGTTAGTTATATTAAAGTGTTATTTTAATCAAAAATATTTTTTTAAGTGAAATAATGTGATAATTGCACATATGGATCAAAGAATAGAAAAACACCTTATTTCAAAACAACAATAACTTAAAGTACTGAGTTTTAAGTCATTGACAAAAAAGTGAAATCCCCCTTTTAATTTTTTTTACTAAATTTAAGGTCTATTTTAGTTCAATTCAATTCAATATTTTAGGTCTATTTTAGTATATCATAAGTATCAAAATAATTTTGGTATAAAAAGGTAGTGAAACTTGGGAGTGAAACGTCTTGGTGTGAACCGTCTTGGTGTGAACTGTCTCAATAGTGAAATGTCTGTCTACCGATTTTTAGGGCTTATTTTGTAGCCGTCATTGGGTCATATTCCCAATTGAAAATAGCATATAATTTTCCCAATCCACAGGAAAAAATTCCCAATTGAAAGTTTCAAAATAAAAATTTTGAATAAAAAATTCTAAAATCTTTGAAAATATGGGTTTCTTCATTGTTATAGTGCTTATATCTTTGAAGATGCCATCCTAGACATTGATTGATTGCATCCATTTAATCACTGCAAAATTTCAGTCTGGCATTTTTTTCCCATTTTTTAACAAAACATCGCTAAAATTCCCAATTGCATTGGTATGGGTCATATTCCCAAAATCCTGCAAAAAAATCTCTGTAAAATATCAATTTCTGATCAGTGAAAAAATCTAGATCTACTTGAAAATGTCTGTTAAATCTTTTGTAAAGAAGTTATTTTCTTTTTAAGTATCATGGTTATAAACAGACAATATATGCATACATGTGAATACAATATATGATGGTGATAAACAGACAATATATGTCTGTTGAATACAACATAATGATGGTTATAAAAGGACAATTATATTTTCAGGTGATATTATCATGTTTCCACGTTTGAATATAAAAGATGATTGAGTTTTGTACCAGAAGACGGATGGTACTGGCCATTCTTGTACTTTTTAGGTGCGTATTTTTAATGTAAATAGTACTGTATGCTTCAAACAGTGATGTTTTTTTTCCCTCCCTTTAATGAAAGGGTCTAGGTAAGTCTACTTAGCCATCTTTTAGTCTTGAAGTTGGGAAAATTTCATTCTCAACTGACTCGGCAACAGCTATATTAGGAATTTACTTTAGCTACTTTAACTTTTTGATAAAATATTGTTGATGTATATAATGTATATTTTCTGACAAAGTATGTTTTCTTACTTTTGTTTTCAGTTTAACAGTGGTAACTTTGATTGTTGAAGGTAGATGGTCAAACAATCATAAAATAGCTGAAGTAAATGCAGGTATAAATAGATAGATATAATTACATGTACTGTTCAGAAATAGGTTTCCACTTAAAATATTGATTTATACTTTCATGACAATATGTTTAGCTGAAGAAAACTAAGTACATGTAAGTTTATGAGCAGAAAATGAATATTTTAGTCAAACTTTCATTTCCTTACAAGCCTATTATGTGATTCACTTCTGTAAAGTTCATAACTACCAGTTAAAATTGAACTACATGTGTAACTTGTTATTAATTTATTAAAAGCATTTTATAATACTGCATGTTTGTAATGTCGTTTTTCATTGGATAATCCAGACATTTATATAGTTTTATGTACATGTATACGGCTGCTTTCAATATGTGAAAAAAACATCTGTCTTTTCTGTAAAAAAAGTTTCTTGTATTAAATATTTGTTTCAAAGATTCCTGACAGGTTATATGGCAGTATATAAATGGTTGTATGCAATATAACTCTCACCTAGCAGCCAGAGTAATATCTGCAACCAATTAAATAGGATCATATACCCAGTAACCTGTCCGGAATCTATATAACTAATAAATCGTAATAATTTATCAGAACCTGACTTTTATCGTCAGTTGAGACCTTGGACTTGACAAGCATTTTTACAAGGTGCCAGTGCAGAATTAACTACTACCTTTAATTGTTCTCTGTACTCGACAAATGTCCTCTTGTTTGCCATTGCACTAACAGAGTTAAAGATTCCTCTTATTTATTTTCAGAAAATGAATCAAGCTGTGGCTCAGAACCTGTGAAAGTTATTGAGTCATGTCAACAATGCTCAACCCTTGAAATAGTCAGTATAATCTTAATATACATGTTATAAGAATAAGAATAGTTTATTAAACCAAGCAAGGTACAATTCAGGGGTTCCCTTAATGGAAGTTTGGGAATCATTTACTCCTTGATTTTGGCTTGTGACTTCCAAAATCTAATACTTGTGACTTCCAAAATCTAATACTTTTCCTTCTTTACCTATATAATGTGACTTCCAATAGCAGAGATTTTGAAGTCTCTGACTTCCAAATTTTGAAACTTAATTGAATATAACAATCTAAATAAAATGGTCAATGCTGCCTTTGAAAGTGTACATTTGATTTCAAAACTTCTAAAAAAGAGTAAAATGTACAGGAAAATAACAGTCACTCCATAATTTCAGAATGCAGGACAAGTTTACTGTTTAAAGACCGGTTACCGGGAACAGATACAATGTGGAAAGGGTAAACATAAAGAAAATGTTTTCAAGAGAAGGTGAATATACTTGTTAACATTATTATTAACATTCAAAATTTGATTTATTTTGCGTGATTTAGTAATCTGATATCAGTTTCAATAATCTGTATGTCTTTTTCTTCAAGTCCAAATGAAGTCATTTCAGGCTGTGGATTAGAGTACATGCAGTGAATAACTTTAGTAAAGTTTGAATCCTTTTAATTAAACCAAACATCTTACTGATCAAGAATTTTGTCTGTATGAAAATTGTATTGGAACTAGAGGAGTTTCCTATTTGGACAAACTACTCTTTGCATAATAAAAGTGACAGTTTTTAGCTTTTTTCAGTGGGTAAATTATAAAGATTAAAGAGGATAAAAATTGAATAAACAATGCAACAATGTTTGGTTTAAATTGGGATCACAAATAAGTGTATTATATGATTCTGAAAATTAAAATTTATGGCAATATTTAGATGAATTAGAGCATTGGTTGAGTGGTAAAGATTTAGATTATTAATAATTGGTACTCCACCACTGTTGATTGAAAGTCTGCCTTCTGTATTGTTAAAAAGCTATTCCAACTAAATTGTGAAAAAAATGCATTGTGGGAATTTTTTTGGTTTTCCTCTATCTTTACAACATGGAATGCCCTCATTTCACCTTTATAGTGTCAGTGTGTCTAAGATTTTAAATCAGGCAAAGAATTACACAAAAACTTTATTATCCTTTGCAGATTTTTCCATTTTATGTTCTTCATAATTATAATCTTTGTAAGAGTTTCAAATTTTATGGGGTTTCTTTTACAGCTTTTTGACCTCAGTGGAGCTCCTTAAATGTGTAAAGTTTTGTTACATTTCAGTTGTAAAGTAGATCCATGGGTTGAGGAGAGGAAATTCTGGATCCTTGAACTGATAACATGTATTGTGGGAATAGGTACTTATGGTATAGTTCGCCACAGACAGGGAATTCTTGATCAACAGTTAATGGAGAAGGTGAACAGACAAATTGCTGCATGATGTGTTCATGGAAACATTGATTTTTGTATGGTATCATTTTTGTGCCGGTGTATGCGGTGTACATTCTTAAGGATGGATGTGTCATAAAGTGTGAAGTGAATTTGAATGTGTTTAGGGAAGATTATTTGAAAGAAGAATTTATGTTGAGCATTTGGTTTATTGGAATTGCTCCATTTACATTGTATCAAAGCAACTTTTCTTAGGGTATGTTTTTAATTTGATGAAACAAAATATCCCTGTGAATGTCATCTCAGATTCAGGGCTGGTAAAATGGTATTCAGTGTTTTAATGAAATAAGAGTAAGGTTTTAAAGTGGCATTGCTCCAGATGAATAAAAAAATTAAATTCAGAAATGTAATGTGATATTAAGAATTTTTATTCACACTCTATATAATGTCTAACATTTTATGTTTAAAAATTTGACTGAAATTACTTTTTTTGTCTTTACATTCCTATCAATTTACAAAAAAGAATTTAGGGCAAACTGTGCAGTACTTTGATTCAAGGCTTTTCAAAATTACAATTAGTCAGATTTCACATATTTTTACATCTTTATCTAAATCATTTTATGTTCTTGAAAATCTTTGGACAAGCAAGCTTTACAAAAAAATGTGAAATTAATGTTGATTGACACATTATTTTTGTTGTTTGCATATAATTTAAGCTGTATTATCTAATGCATTAATACATTTATGTATTAAGATATGACCTTGCTTCTATATGACCTTGACCTAAAAGGTCAAAATTTGGAAATTCACCATAATTTTATGATTTATTAACAAAATGGGGATCATGGTATTTTTTGTTTTGAGAAGATAGTTATCTTCTTAAATTTCAGTGTATCATTAAGTGCATGTATGTCAATAAATGTTTAAACATTATGAATGTATTTTAAGATGATATTTTTGCTATGTTTTTAAGTAAATATTGGAGGATGTGTATTTATACAAATATTCATAAATATTTATGATGATCATGTTATGTTTAATGCCAAATAAAAAGAAATACATAGTTACTTAGTTTTTTCCCTTTTTCTTTATTTTATTATGATTTTTGTCTGGACAGGAGGTTGTATTTCTCATGGAAAGCATATAATAAATAAAGATTTTATTGCCCGTGTTTACAAGCTATTGTGGAAACAATAAATATACTAAACAAAATACCAAATTATTGTTCAAGGTTGAGTATATTATCATTCTCTTTAAGTGTCCAAATTATGTGTCAAATTTAATCAGCTATCATGTAATGTAGTATTCAGGACGGAACATCATCAAGGATGCTAAGCTGAGCTTTTTAGGCTGGTTTGGTAGACATGACTAGACTAGTCACTTCAGAGACAGCTATGAGATACAAGGGAAATGGGAACCAGTCCCTAGCTCTTATTGAAAAGATCCCTTGGGTTTTTTACATGCCTAGTGTATAGCACTGATACATGCGAGGATTACCTGGATTTCTTACCAGTACACCTCTGGTTAGGTGGGAAACACTGAAAGTGACTCTGAAAAAATCCCAAGGGTGTTAACCAGGATCGAACCTGGGACCTTGTGAGTGACAGCCAGTGGTCTAACCAACTGAGCTTTCGCGCCACCTCATAGAAAACAATTGAGGTGCAGTTTACTTTTTATATACAGGTGCTTTGTTTAAATCTTTACGTTGCTATTTTTTTTAATGAGAGACAAATATCTGGAATTTAATCTCTTATATTGGAAATCGGGGGCAAAATATCAGGATTTTTTTAATCCCACAGAGGTATCACATGTATGGACATATCTATGTGTTAGCAATGATACTAACTGCTGTTAGATTGACACTTGGTATACATTGCAGTTTAAATACAAATGCTACTGTGAATTGCAGGTAAGTCATCAACAAAAATGTTTATTTACTCACAGTGTGAGAATTGTGCAGCCCTACTGGGTCTGAAACCTGGACCTAATGGAATGTTGTTCCACTGCTCTACTGTCTGAGCTATTTGGCCACTCACACATTTTTTTCCCTAATTTCAGTTAATAGTTCTTTACTGTGTCATATGTCACAGGGTGAAAAAAAAAACATGCAGCCTGACTTGGGTTTGAACATGGGACCCTTCGGATACCATTTCACGGCTCTTCTGACTGAGCAGTAATGCAGTTTTTCATACATCTTTACCATGACTTCCCCTACTGTATTGAAATTCATCTTCGAATTTCATATGGTTTCACAAAACACATCTAAGTGACTCTGTAGATGTAAACTGTTCATGATCCCACGTTGAGCTTTCAGGCCTGACTTACACATCTTCCCAAATTAGTTAATAGTTCTATACTGTGCAAAGTTCATAGGATGAGAAAAATGTGAAGCCTTTTACCAGGACTCTCAAAATATCATTTACACAGC